AAGGGCAATAAGCCTTGATGTAGCTTTAGAAATAGCTTTAGCTTATCATTATCTTTATAGTCACTGAATATATACCCCTGTACGTGCTCTGCGCAATGTATATATGTAATTTGGAAAACAATAAAGTTAGGCATGAGCCTGTCAAAAAAAAAAAATAATAATAATAAAATAAATAAATAAATTTTACAATGTGGTAACTTTAATATTTTTGAGTGCTTTTATTTTAAACTATTTGATAAAATATTCAATAATTACAATAATATATTAATTACCTTAAAAAGTAATTAATAGAGGTTTAATAATATAAATTTTTATATAATTAAAAAGTTGTTTAATAGATATAGAGTAATATTTCTTATAGGATATAGAGGTTTCTTGTTATTAATAAGTATTATAACTTTTAATATATTCAATAATAGTTTTGTACTAATTAGATTAATAATATTAACTTTTTACTTATTTATAATTTACTTTAATTTTAAAATATCAATAAGAATATTTTTATAAAAATTATATAAAATTGATTTCAATTTAGTTAAGTAGTTTCAGTGGATTTTTAGTATTATATTAGAATAATATATAATATTAAATAAGATAATATATTATTTATTTTTTGAAAAAGATTATTTTTTTTATCAATAAGTTCAAAGATTATTTTCTAATAGATATATAAATATATAGTTATTAATAGATTTTCAAATTTATAATTAAAATAAAGTTAAAAAGAATCTTTATAATATATTGATATATTAATATTTTTCTGATATTAAATTTTAAAGAAGTAATTTATAATAATAAAATACACATCATATTGTTCTTTTATTTAAAATGAAGTTATTAATTATTTATTAAAAGTTAAATAGTTAATAATAAGAATAAGTTCTTGAAGATAAATATAAGAATAGAAATATTTTATAGTTCAAATAGTAATAAAATATTTAATTTTAGTAGGGAAATAATTAAGTTCAGGTTTTATAAGACTTTAATTTATACATATTATTATATATTTATTTTCTTGTTTATTTAGTTAAGTTAGAACAGCTTTTAATTTCTTGTAAAAAGTATTAGTATATATGAGAAAAACTTAAAGAAATTTAAATAGATCAAGATTAGTATGATAATTAATTTATTTTTAAATTTCTCAAATGTTAATTGATATTTTTTATTTCAAATATATGAAATGTTTTTTTCAAAAGCTTGTTTATTGATTTAATTATAACAATAAAATTTGATATAAAGTGATAATAATAAGATACTAGTCTAATAAATCTTTTTAGTTCAATAGTAATAATTGATATAATAATGTTTTTCATTTTTTTCACTTTGATTAATTTTGATTAAATTTTATATTAATTGTAATATATAAGTATTTCTTAAATATGATAAAATATATATTAATATCATTCGAATATATTAATATATATTTATATAATTAATACATAGATTAACTAGGGAACTTTTTTCACTGATCCTTTGACTACACACAAAAAAGACATTCGCAAGAAGTTTTTATACTTCTGAACTAATAAAGTCTTATCACTTTCCTTAAACCAACTTGAAAGAGCTTCAAGTGTCGTCAACCACCTCCTCCCTCTTCTTGCTTACTATACTCTTCAAATAAAAACTTGATCTCTAGTGATCTTAAAGGTCAAGAAATATTTTTTCTACCTATGGCAAGAAAGTTCTGAAAGGAAGAAGAACTAATGTGCCGCTATCTCACACCGTAGAGAAACACCACAGAAGTTTTTGAGATAATGAGAGACAACTTTCTCACTCTCTTGTCATCTATTCAGGCTTCTTATAGTGCTCGTTCTTGGTTTTTTCTAGGAAATTTTGCCACCTCAGTTTGATCTTGAATTTTGAGTAGCACAAAGTTTCTTATAATGTGATTGGGCAGACAGAGCTCACATTAGTAAAAAGAAGTAAACAAGCTCCTATTGATCACTTCACGTGTTCAAATGCATTTCCTCAGCTCCATAAGAACCTGAGGTCGACCATGAGTCATTGTGTTGATGCGGGTGGATAATGAACACTGTCTACTCCTACATCTTTGACTAAGTGAAAGAAAAAGAACATACTCTTCCCTCCTCCTCTACTACGAAAGAAGAAAGAAGACTAGACTCAAAGGAATATAGAATGAGGATGATGTCTTAAAAGTGCCACGCCTATTCTTTATTAGCATGAATATTGGGAGATCAGGGAGATCTTAGGATCATTTGCACCTAATCAACAATACCAACATGCAGTCGAACGACCCTCCAGTGACTAAAGAATATGTCATAATGGGACATAGGACAATGGCTCAATCTCTACAGATGGTAGTACTTTGGGGAAAACAGTATGATATTTATTAAGTCCAACAAGGCGCATGCTGGAAGTATCAAGATTCTCCTTTTTAGGTTAGAGTTATCGCAATGGTAAAGAAGGACAGATTGTTGGATGACGGGCCCTAACTTTCCAGTGTATGTTCACCTCTTCCCATGTCCTAGAGCCCTTCGAAAACCCCTGATTTATCATTATCCAGAAGAACATCTGTAAAAGATCCCATACTGGATAGGGTATGGAAGGAAAAGGCAAGAACTGGTAGATAAGGACCACAACATGGAGATACTGAAAGCAGTGGAGGAACAGGCACTGCGCCCAGAACTGATAAAGCCCTTGAAGAGTAATCAGTCCACGGTATCAATATGATAGTAATAGCATGTCTCTAAGTCACCCATAACCAAACTATTTCCCCTCCTCCTTCCGGTGCCTTTTTTGTAATGCAGAATCTTCACCCCTGTTTAAGTTTGTACAGTTTTAGCTTCATTCTTCTTATCCAAATAGAGATAGCAGAGTAGGGTATCGAACATGTTAATAAAACAAACCAGATGGTCTATGGCAGACATAGATTCATTACACACATCACCCTCAAGAAATTTTTATCACCCTTATGGTCCTTTATTAGGTTTCTGTCTGGAGATGGCTTAGCCATGAAGTGGTTCATAACCTATCATTAGTTTACTAGCTTTTTACTGTTTTTCTTTTGGTCAGATGTATCTGCATGTTAAACTTCACTAATAAACTTGGCCAAGCCAGCTTAAAAAAAAATTTTTATATAATTAATAAGTTATTGAAAAGTAATTAATATATTAGTTAATTCAAAAAGCATGATATAAAATTTAAAAGTTTTTTATTTGATAGTAAAAATAGTTTTTTACTTATTCACTAAATTCATTTTAATTTGTTAATATTTATTAACTATATTCAAAGAAATAAATTATTTGATCTTTCCTAGTGAATCAAAAATTTTATTAATTCTAGATAATAGGTAAGCCTCCTTTTTGGGAACTTTGTTAAACTTCTAATAGTCAACATAAAATCTTGTTTGATTATTTTTCTTTTTACAATTGAAGAATTCTAGAAATTATATAATAATTGAAAGATTTCTTGAATCAATATATATTCAATTTTTTTTTTTTACAAATTTATGTTCAACAAAAGATATCCTATAAGGTCACTGTTTAATTGGTAGAGTGTTTTTAGTGATAATATGACAAGTAACCAAGTTAGTGCATCCAGCAGGTGAATTATCAATTGTAATTATATCTTGACATTGTTGCATCAAATGATTGAATTGATTTTGTTGTTCCTAAATTAAATTAGGTGATTTGTCAAGTTCCTTTTTGCAATTTACATTTAAGTATTGAACAAGTTCCCAGTCTTAAGCTTTGAGTAAACTAATGGTACAAATGTCAGAATCCTGCTTCAAGTAATGAAACATACTGTACATCTACATGCGAATTGCATTTGTATGATTAGGAAATGCCTTTTGGAATATAAAAATGCATTTATAAGGAATGGAAAAAAAAAAGTTTACTAGCGTGCTTTTGTAAAGAATTGAAGAAAGGTATGAGAAGGAATGAGGGAAATTTATTAGCACACCATTATCGAAGCCTGAACGCTTGATAATGATCTCCATAATATTACATGATACATGGAAAACTGGCGCCTTGTAAAAAAACACATCTAAACGTGGATTACGTGAACTTATCGTAAGTGCGTAATAAAAATCGTGCTATCAAAGCTTGAGTATTATGCGTATATAATCGATTATCTCATTAATTGAGTATAAACATATAGTGCATAATGAATATAACATGATAATTCGACCTTCTATATGAACTTACTCCGTGAGAATGTATTGATGACCGCTGTTCATGTAACGTATGGTCACGTGTCACTTTCGACCATACACAAAATAATTTACAATCAAAGTAGTTTATGATTATAATGACATCGACATATAATGAATTCCTAGAATCAATGCTGCTAATCTACCTTTTATATCTTGATAGTTTAGATTACGACTATTATATACTGTATGTTTATTCAAGAAAATTCTTTGATAAACTTATACCGAATGCACGTTAATCAGATTCGCTACACATTATTAAATAATGATTGTGTATCTATTTCCTTTTCATAATGAACGACAGTTTTACATCACATTCCATCAGCTTTGACACCCATAATTCGATATTTGGAAATGCCCTTAATACTATGTTCTGAATTTTCTGGTCTTAAACCCTCTGACCTCTCTAAACTTGAAATTTCTTACTAGCACTGACAAGAAGACTTTGAATTCATTTATTGTCACCTTGTTCCCGATACAGGATTTGGGACTATTGATGATGGAAGATAGGCAAAATTATTTATATCCGACTTCTTGACTGACTCTGAATCAGAGGACATTTGCCATCGCTCGGGCTTGAACTCCTCAGCACTTTCATCCCACACTGAGGGTAATCTGTGGATTGCAGAGATTGGGAGAACCACTGTAATCCTTACGTGGTGGTGCAACTCTTAACACGCATTTGAAATACTTCAATTCGTTGAGGTCATTTAGATAAGGTGAATATTGAAAGAGATCTTTAATCGGTATCAGACACCTCAGCTTTGACCAAGTTCTTGATGTTTCCAAAGAACAAATAATCCACCGGTGGACCAGGTATCTTACGAGTGGGCGATAGGTATAGTGGATAGATTTGAAATTTATAAGTAATGTACCAAGTAATATACAGCATATACTGTATACAGTATACAGTATACGAAAGTTGATTAAAAACAATATAAATAAAAATTAGCTAAATGGCGCTTCCTGCCGATGACATCATGACACATAGATTTATTCGTATCTTAATTACAGTATATCCATCTCTATGCGAATTATCATGTAAAAAAGAGATTATGTAAAAAAAAGTCGTGGAAACTGTTTGAATTTTACAATGTCATTGAATGTGTATATTCTCGTGATAGTCGAAACTCGAGAATTGCACAGAAAACACGTTTATTTATGATAACCATCTATAAGAAAAATTTACTATGCACGCTATACAATTCTTTCATTGTCGACGTTACCCGAGATTATTTTAGTGCTATTGTCTTAGTCCCTCTATATGGTTCATCTATAGAGTAGCTGATACGAACGACACCGTGATATAGAAGGGAGTTAGAGTTGAGAATTAGGAATTAGGGTGACATGATGGTGGGATCAAGTGACAGGGATGCGGTTCTCACTCTTGATTTTTCAAAAGAACGTGTCATCAAAGATTCTAACATGGATTAGGGTGACTTGAAGAATCCCAATCATGTGCCCAGAACATGTATAACTTAAAAATTATTTTATTAAATACAGTAAATGATTTGATCTTTTCTTATTAGTAAGCTTAAAAAAAATATTCTTTAATAACGTCTGCAGTATGTCCGTATTAAGAAAGAAATTAACAGAGACTTTGTAAAGCTCATTATATAATGATATGATGATGCTTTTCGTTCAAGAAACGAATATATTATCATTATATTTGACTCATAGTATCGTGTTATCGTTCCCAAAAAAATTCATAAAAGTTAATACTTTTTTTTTTTTTTCAAAAAAGTAACCAATTTGTATTAATAATGAATATGCATGCACCAATTCATTTTCGTCTGGTTCTGCAAGCTGGATAGACAGGCCCTTATAACATTTACATTATTTTTTTTTCCCTTTATTTAAGTAAATTGTACATAAAAAAAATAAAAATGCTTGAAAAAGATTTGTAAATACGATTTTATCTTATTAAGCAGCACTAAAAATAAATAACCTTAGAAAATCGTTCAAATGCAGTGTCACCTGTCTGCACACATGCACGCATGCATAAGTACAGTACGTTCACTACGTTCACAGCTTTACTCATGG